ATAATAATAATAAATAATATAATTACATCTTCAATCACATTGATATACCCCCCCCCACCGCCAATTTATTTTAGTTATTAGCAATATTAACTACAAATGAATGCTGTCCACCCTGTCATGTATGTGTCATGAGTCTAAGTGGCCGACAGGGTGGACATTTTGAGCTTCAAATAGCATATTAGCTTACAACAAACTGTGACTAGCTAAATATTTAGTCTGGTTGTTGAAGCGAATTTGGTATATTCAAACTTACATACTTTGAAAATACTGTATTCGAATCACTTCTGGCGTATTTTATGGCAACAGGGTGGACATGTTAAGCTTTGGAAAAGCAAGTAAGCAAACTCATTCGAAGAAAATTTGTCAATTGAAAAGTCACCAACTTACTCACTTCAGCCGTTGAAATTCCTGCCACTGAAGAGACAAAAAAAAATCTGTTGTGCTGATGTCACTAAAGTAGATGGCCTTTTCTTAAAGGGGCGGATTCCCCAATATGACAGGGTGGACAACCATTCAAGGGATATGACCAAACTCTTCTTTTTTATTAAATAAAAATATTGTTTTTATTACCAAATGATCAATACACTCAAATTGAGTAATATCTTATTTAACAAAATATTAATAGGAGAACAACATTTTTTAAATGTTATGATTTGACAATATTCTACTATCATTCAAATTCAATGAGCAGTGCATGGGACATAGCAAAATAACACGCATCCTTTTACAAAACAAAACAAAAACAAATCTAGAAAATGTATCTAAAGCCAAGTAATGCTTTTGTTATGAATATAAAAACTTAGCTTAATATAACACACCCTTTCATAGTCATTTTTAAGTTATCATGGCAAATGAGTTGTTAATGTACAGGACACCAAAAGGCACCCTACAGTGATATTGACCCTCCCATGAAGTTGTAAATAATGAATAGCATTGCATGGATCAATGATGAGCATAGTGAAAATTTGCATCAGGTTCTGTTGTATGCAAATCAGACAGACAAATCAATAATGATCAACAGTTCCTACTGATTTGATTTAACTATATGTAAATAGCTGAAGAAACAAAATTTGCAAAGTTTAAAATCTGACCAATCAGCATCAAGTAGAGTTGTGAGTCATTCACCTTGCTCATTGCTTTCCTCTGTTTCGCAGGAGTGTGTGAGGAGGTGTGTGCAGGATGCCGAGAGAAGTATTCGTGAGGAGTGTGACCTGAAGTCAGAAAGAGAGAAATGGGCCCTACAGGACAGACATGAAGAGGAGATATCTGAGCTACAAAGCAGGTAAAAATACCCATGAAACACCCCACCTGCTCACCCCAGCTTCCTGTTGTGATGCATCTCAGCTATTCTCTTTCTCTTTCCCACCTTTTGTAAATTTCATTAGTTTCTCTCTTTGCATCTCTCTGCTTTCTCCCTTTTCTACAAGAATCCTAGAATATATAGATTTAGTTGTCTTCAACAGTTTCTCCACCACTTTCTTTCTTTCTTTCTTTTTTTAAAATAATGTTCTGAAATGGTGCACGACGGTGCGTGTGTGTTCCAGGATACAGCAGCTGCAGGACAGTCTGGAGCAGGCCTGCAGGGAACGCATTCAGTATGAAGCAGAGTTTAAGGTCAGCCCTTGTAATGAGGTCATCATGAATAAATGAACAGCTCTAAAAAGGGACCTGCTCAAATCCAGCATCTGCAACACCCTGCAACAAAATGACGGAATAACAGAACTTTATCTTTTCCCGTGCCAGCACGTCCTCTGACGTTTGGTTCTTATTAAGCTTAGTTTGTTTCCCCCCATGAGTCTGTGTTCCTCCTTGTCTTAATAGACAACAGTATTGACATTTGACCTTTTGCTTGAAGACGTTTCCATCTTTGGTCATTATGATGATCCACCTGTCTAACTAAAATTCAGTCAGCATGTTTGTGTGCTTCCATCTTCTTCCTGTCTTTCAGAAGGTGCAGGCCAGCTACAGGCGGTTTGTGGACTTGACTGATTCCTCCCTCCACTCTGATTACCTCTTAAAGCTGCGCAGACTGGGGAGAGAGCCAGGTCTCATGGACACTGCGACACAGACTGATGAGATCACCTCCTAACTGTGATCTTGTGATGGCAGTGTTCTCACATCACAGCGTCTGGGTATTTGACATGTCACAGCAGTGTCCAGTACATGCTGTACCTCCTATCTGTGATCTTGTGATGGCAGTGTTCTCACATCACAGCGTCTGGGTATTTGACATGTCACAGCAGTGTCCAGTACATGCTGTACTTGGTCTAAAATCATTTTTAAGCATTTGTCAAACATTTTCTAGAAACTATAAGAATATTTGTCATTTGATGCACAGCAGAATTATTTGAGTGCACCGCAAAAGCTTGAAAGTGGTTAAAAAACTATGAAAAACATCTCAAATATACTTTCCTTCATACGTTTATCTTCCTCAGTCCCAAGATTGAAAACTTTACGACCTATTTTTTAGTTATGAAATGTGTTGACAGTTGCATAATAAATAGGGAAAATGCATATATATTACTGTACTTTATAATGGTATATTAAAATGTTAATTTTTGCAGTTTTGTAAGATTAAAGTGCACTACAGCATATTTTCTCTGTCTGCATGTAAAACTATGTTGAACTAATAGGTTTAACTAACAGATAAAATTTGAATAAATACATCTGAATATTTAACACCATTAATCTTATTTTACATTGTAGTGTAGAGATTGACACTACTGATGAACAACATATTAAATATGTAATAATGTCCTGGAGCAGCTTACCCATTGTTATTGTTAGGCCTATTTGAATTACATTAACATGTATTGTGTGTATTGTTACCCACTGATCCAAATGTACAGTATACTAGATATTTTCACTGGAAATTGTTGTATGAAAAAATATATATGTGCCCTTTCACAGCAAGATTCCATAATGATAAATAGGCACACATATTACAGGTAAAAAAAACAAAACAATATTTAAAAAAAATATTGGTGCTGTTGCTAACTTGCTACACAAAGAATTTCCAAACAAAATGACCTAGTTTACTAGACGTTTGCTAGTCGTTAAAAAGCCTAGCTATTTATCAACTACCTGCTTTAAATACCATTTTCAAAATGCCATTTAAAGTCTTTTGATGAATTGGGACTGCAGTAGAATGGCTGAAATTGATGAATGAATCGTTTATAATTGTTATATTAATATTACATAAAATTATATTAATATTAGATAAAATTGATATGGCTGTCCAAAAGGGCGTCAAAATTCCCAGGGCGCTATCTAAAGAGTTGTGGGCTGTAGTAGCATTACTTCACCGCCGGGTGTCAGTGTAGGCAAGCTTTTACTCCTCCGCCTTAACGCCTTGGGTCCCATCAGCAGCGCTTAGTCCATAATACACTTCCTAAATGTAGTTTTCAGATGTAATAGACAGGCATACAAACACAATTAATTACCAATTTTTCACATACGCAGAACGCTGAAAATCATTGCAGTTTCATTTGGACGGTAGAGATATTTATTAAACAAGCTCTTTATCTGCTGCATATCTTACTAAGCTTGTCATTAGTGTCGTTACCACCAGCATGAAATGTTATTACATGCACCGTTACCAGCGAATGCACTGGGGGCGCTGTAGCTCCGTAAGCCGTCGCTTCTGAATGCACGGCGTTGATCGGTTGTGATCGGGTGCCGGGGATCACGATCATCATATCAAACGCAAAGAGAAGCAGTCACAGAAATGTACGTGCACTGGTATTATTTATTTATGGATACAGAGAATCCTTTACATGAGCGTTGGGGAATATGTTTGCATGGTATATGGATGTGTTCGTGACTGAGGTGATTTAATAGCACCTCTACTACATGCGGAAAAACAAATCCCCCAAAGAAAAACCCGCTCCGTTAGTGCGCACTCCAGCCGGAAGATGGGATTTTTTATTCGAGCGCGCACACCTCCCCTTTCCCCATCCCTCCTGCTCTCTTTCTCTCCCTCTCCCTCTTTCTCTCGTTCTCAAACAACTCAGTCTGTCTGTGTGCGCCGAGCGTTAGGAACAAGTCGCACTAGTCGGATTTGCAGCCAGAGAGAGAGACACATCGAGAGAATCCAAGCAGGACAGACGAGAAATGAACTATCTAATGACTTGCCACATCCGAGCACATTCTCAAACACCCTGCAACCGAGACCCATGAATAAGGATTGCAATATTTTTTTCCACCCTGGAAAATCTGGCAATAATTTTGTCGGTCTCGGCACATTTGTAAATTTGTGTCCATTTGATATGCTTGTTTTTTTAATTTGCATTGATTAGTTTCGTTTAGCTATCTTTGCGTTAATTATCCGGATTGCTTGCTGCCCAACATTTCGAGTGCATGCGGAATTATTGGAATCTCGGAGGCAAGCAGGAAAATCCAATTGGAGAACTAGAAGAGAGAAAGAGAAGCAGCGAGATCTGTCCAGCATCAACATGTTCTTCTGAAGAGGCGAGGAAAAGCTCATTCCCAAACCATCATCCATCTACCATCACATTCCCGTCCTAATTCGGGGGGAAAACAGAATGAAGCGGGAGTGAAAAGGGAATGGGAAAGATAGGTCCAGTCTGAAAGCCGCGGGAAAAAACAAAACAATATAAGCACCACGAAATAATACTGGAAAAGTAAACTCTTGCAAGAAAAATTGCAACAAAACGGCTGTGGGAATTGAAATTGCGGCGGAGTTTTGTCCACGAGCTACTTTTCCCTAAAGACATTTTTTGTGGAATTCTCTCCTTAAATCCACACAGACTGCACCTTTGTTTAATCTGTCCTCCTGTGTGTGTGTGTTTTAGTAGATATCCATGCAGGCTCCCAAAACACGTTGTTCCAGATCACACTGACGGATTCACCTGAAGCACACACGCTTTGTTCCGAGTCCAGAGATCTCCAACCTCTGGGAGAGTATCCCACACAGCTTTGATGGGAGTAAATAGACGGAATTCGGGATTTCAAATGGCGAGTCGGGGTTGTGAAAATGGATTGGGAATTCTCCTGATATTCTTAGTGGATTTACTCGGGATCACGGCGTCCAACATGGAGCCCATCTACTGGAATTCCTTGAACAAAAGGTAAGAGCCGCAACTAAAGGCATTGGGCACGGCGTTGGAGATAGTCAAACGCCTAGTATTTTCGCGCAAATCGTTGAAGGACGGCTTTGAAACGTCTCTCGCAGGGGGAAAGAAAGCTGTTAAGCGCTATTACGCAGACAGGCCCCTTAGTGGATAATCACGAGTCTGCAGAAGTTACGAGCATCAATGTCGCCAGACTAATAAATGCCACATTTCATTGACGGTGTGTGTTGAGGAATTTAGCCGCCACAGTTACCGCTGTTTCACTGGCTCTCCTTCAGATACGCTCCAGTTAGATTGGCATGCATTTTAGTTGCTCAACACGAAGTATTTTTCCGTCTTAATGTCATTTAAACAATGTAACCTTTGTACAACGTCCTTGCTTAACTTGTGGGAACGTGTAGAAGCCACCAGAGCTGCTTCAGTCACCAGCGTAACTTCTGTCAAACAAAAGAGATAGTTCTGCCAAGGTGCATACTTGAACATATCGTCGACACCTATGCACACCGGGCCATGCAAAGACGTTTACATGAATTCAAAACCATTTGCACTTTTATTTATACGTGACAACTCTGTTAAATAGGCTACAACTCCAACTTTAAACGAAACTGAAAAATGAAAACTGGTAGAACCTTCTTAGGGACTATTATTAGTTAGCAACTTATCTGCGGTCATGACAGTACTTAAAACAAAAGAAGGTGTAAGCTTTCACTCTTAGTCGACACCTTACTGGACTAGTTAACGTGGAAACAGCTAAAGTGAAAAGTTTTACACGCAGGTGTTAACTTTAGATGGTCAGTCAGTCCCATTTCACGCTACACAATTTATTACTCCAGTCACGGAGGTGACACGATTTTCCCTGACGCAGGATGGAATAGTGGGTAGTTTACAGCTAGATTTCTCGTAGTATATATCTGTAAACAAGGGGGCGGGTTCTGCAACCCAGCATCTGTGAATTCATTTAGTGGGGAGCCAAAGAAACCCATGCAAACGGCGTGTCCGGCACATAAACGACGATTTATGGCCGAGCAGACCGCTTTCTTTCTTTCTTTCTTTCTTTCTTTCTTTCTTTCTTTCGCCCTTCTGTCATTACTGGGCTTGTTTAAATGGACACCCGGCGTCGTGGGAGCACTTGTGTGCCCGGTCTAAATCGGTATGTGGGTTATGAGGGGCTATTAGTGGTGCCACGAGCTCTTGAAAGACGAATAGGTTTTTAATGTGTCCATGTGGCGCATATACCGGGCTCTGCGCTTCAACAGATGCTGCTGGGGGGGTGGAGGGGGTTTATTCTGTCCCAGTGGCCGCTGGCAGACGCTCTTAATGAGGGTTCTTGTCGGTGCTGCTTGTGTTAATCTAGCAGGGGTTTGTGGGGACCTCATTTGAAACGGGAGCGCGCACGGGTGAGAGGCATGACCGTGGAGCACCGAGGACAATGGTTTTTAACTGATTCAATCACTTGTAATCGATGTAAGTCGATCAGCAGTGGGCGCTGGTTTTCTCACGGATTCTTCGCACTTTAAATTATCCGAATTTCGCTTCATTTCACAGTGGAAACTCTCACAATTAATACAACTTTGAAAATCTGGAATCTGAGGGTGCAAAAAAAAAAAAACTGATTATTGAGAAAATCGCATTTAAGTTTGTCCAAATGAAGTTGTTAGCAATGTATATTACTAATCAAAAAATATATTTACGGTAGGAAATTTACAAACTATCTTCATGGAAGATGATCATTACTTAATATCCTAATGATTTTTGGCATAAAAGAAAAATCGATCATTTTGACCCACAATGTATTATATTGTTGGCTATTGCTACAAATATACCCGAGCAAATTATAACTGGTTTCGTGGTCCAGGGTCACATATTGCTGTCAAGTGTTCATTTTACACATTTACATACTCACTCAGTAACACTTGAAATGAACAAAAAAAGAAAACAAAAATGTGTTTTTGGATTTTTTTTGTTGGGGGTGCTAAGGAGGGGCTTAAAAGTTCAGAGGGGGTGCTAAAAAAACTAATTAAATTGAGTAAAAGAAATGAACATCTATAAACCTCAGCTATCTAAATAGCATGCAAATTCAGTCACCTTGTGTTTTTTATATACAGCAGCTTAAATTAAAAAAAAAAAAAAATTCTGTGGTATTAAATTTCTCATATGCCACTGTTATTAGTAATATAACTTCTTATGCCAAATGCCAAATATGACACCCACAGAGAAAGTAGGGATTTTTTTCTTTTTTCATTGTTTTCTTTTCTTTTCTTTTCTTTTTTTACACTATCTATTTAGTCATTTTTTCTGACCATCAAGTGTCAGTCACTCTCAATGCCAACTGGCAGGAAAACATGGTACATTCTAGCCATTTTTTACAATAGATAAAGTGCCGACAATTCATACAACTATTTCCACACAGTGGAATAGCGGACGGGCACGCACGGCACGCACTGCGGTGGGGCCCCACGATAACCTCCCCCTGCTGAGATGCGTCGTATCATGTGTCGACGATAGCCAGAGATATTGTCAAAAGCATCAAAAATTGGCAATATTAAGAGGATTTAGCATTTCCAATTAATGTAGGCCTGTTGCATTCTTCTTATTATTAGGCCTATTATTATTATTAGGTTACTTTTATTATTAAATTATATGAAATTATTGCCCCGCAATAATTTCATAGCGCATCACCGCATGACGCGCTGTGAGGATAATTAAAGTTTAGGCTATTAGCTTACTCCTCATTGAAAATGTTTTTTTAAAAAAGCTCTATTCATTTATACAATGAATTATAGGCCTATAATTACAATTATTAACACCGCGGTCATCAATGAAAATTAAGAGCTGCTTTATTTCGTGCACCGATTTTCAAAAACAACCTGTTTTCGTCTCATGTTTTTCACTATACGGGTAGTTTCGTCTCTCGTTGTTTCAGAGAATATGCGCCGTTAATGTAGCCGTAGAACGCTCCGTCAGTTTTTTTACTTTCACATTCTCTATAGTGAATTGACTGACGTTCACTGGCATTACTCTTGCGCACGGTTTGCGCGTTGCTTGACCCCTCCCCCATAATATTAATTGTTTATAGGCCACATATTAGGCACTTCTTTTTTTTTTTTTTAAGGTTTTTAATGTTTATTTTTCAATGTTAATGAAAGAGACACCAAAAAACAGGAACATCATTAGGAAATCCTTGGGGGGGCTGTGCCGGGGCTAAGCAAGTTTCTGATGGGGCTATAGCCCCGTCAAGCCCCGCCCTAGCGCCGCCACTGATGGTCAGTCCATTGAATTGGCAAATGAAGCATGCATTGTTAATGGCTCACAATATCAAAATGGCAAAATATCGGCAGATTAATTTGCCTGGACAATCTGCCTTACGTGTTAAGCACCATACATTACATATTAATTAATGTTTGGTTGTATTAATCACTTATTATTGTGTCACATGTTAGCTTGAACACTGTAATGTAAAGTCTGGTTTCTTTACACAAACACAGCGTCGCCATATTCATAATTGATTTGAAAATACACTGTGCAGTGTAAATTTGGCTGCTCGCAGACACACACTTACAAGACATCTGCACCGTGTGGTTTTGCTCCAGGCTACAGGAGTCTGCTCAGTTCGCACTAAAAGTAGCTGTACGCAGGTTACATTGTTGGCAGTGCTGTATATTTAATAGGGATCAGTGAACCTCTGCTCCTCAGTGCTTTGAAGATGAGGTCCTGCACCTGTAGAATGTTTTATTCACCTGCTCTATCCCATCACTCTCTCCGTCACTACTACTACTCCATCTCAACCTCTCACGATGGCGCTGCCTTTCTCCTCCTTGTGCGAAATTAGAAACGTGTAGACTTCAGAGGAGCGAAGAAACAGCTAAGAAGTGATGGGGAGGAAAGAGGGATCGAGAGAAAAGGGAGGAACAGCAGGGCGCATCCTTAAATGTACAGAAATCAATATCTTCTAAGCCATGAATGTCAGTTTGAGTTAGGCCTAAGAAAATGCAAGTCCAGCACAAAGATCACCTTGAAATTGTCTGCTTAGGGTAAAAAAAATCTATAAAGCAAAAATTGTGTTTGTTCTTAGACACTGCAGTTTAATGTAATTCCGGAATGTATATTTAATTAAGGGGGCGTAGATGAAAAATGGTTTCTTGAGATTGAATAGGCAGGCACGAAGCAGGACTTCGAGGGCTTTTTTTAGTAAACCGTAATGGTGTTTTTCAGTGAGCTGGCTTGTCTGTGAAGCGTCCTTCACCTTCTGACATTCACACCCCTTGATACATTGTTTACACACAAGAAAGACAAAGTGTGTTTGTGTGTCCTTGGCCCTCTCTGGATGAGCAAACACATCTCTGACTGATGTTCTGAGGGGTCAGTTAGGGCTGTGTAATTCTTCCAATTGACTATGTTGAGATGCTGGTTGGGTAATTTGATCCCAAACGGTTACTAACGGTTCAGAAGGTTTCTGTGTTCTTCTGTCTAAATCACTGTGCGTTTCAGTAATTGCGTTTCAGAGATTCAGATCCAGCTCAAACCTGTGGGGGGTTTTCCGATAATGAATTCAGATGAGCGATTGTGGGTAACTGTAAGGATTTGTGTGTTATCATAAATGTCACAGGATCTGTGGGTGTACGCGTGATGGGCCTTTTGTATCAGCGCTCGCTCTCAAAGAAATATGTTACCCCCACTGGATTTTTAATAATGAATTTATCGCAGGCTAATTGGGATCGGATAAAAGCACTAGTTAACCGATCTCAGGCTTAAGACGAGGCAAAGTACGAGGGAAATTTGGGAAGGAGGTCGTTGGGAGAAGGGAGTAGAATAAGACACAATCTCAATAGGTCACTGACATACATGGTTGTGTTCAGAAAGTCCGAATTTGTAAGTCGCCTTGCATAAACATCTGCTAAATGAATGTAAATGTATAAATAAACATAGAAAGTTTTTTTGACATGCTCACAAATGGATTAGAGGATTGAATCTGTGTTAATTCGCTAAACTGGAGAGAT